GTGCAAATTTTCCTGATAAATGAAGTGCGAGTAATGTTAATTAATAACAATATATATGAATGTGTAATATGGAATAATTATAAATGGAATGAAATGAAAAACATTACATATAAAAACAAGCCAAAACTCAAAGAATAATTTAACAAATTAGTTAGACATATTTAGGGTTCAGAATATATAAACTGGAAGGACTGAAAATGTAACAAAGTAATTAGTTTTGACTGAAATATTCTTAAGATGATGAAACGTGTATCTTTGCCTGTTAAATGAAGTGCAAATAATGTTAACTAATAACAATATATATGAATGTATAACATATAAAAATTATAAATAATGAAATGAAAAATAAATTATATTTAAAAGCAAGCCAACTCTCAAAGAAGAAAATAATAAACTAGTTAGACATATTTAGGGTTCAGTTTATAAACTGGCGGAATTGAAAGCGTTACAAAGAAATTAGTTTTGACTGGAGTATTCTGTATATGATGAAGCGTACAACTTTACCTGATAAATGAAGTGCAAATAATGTTAATTAATAAAAAAATTAATATGAATGTATAACATAGAATAATTATAAAAGGAATGAAATGAAAAAATCACATTTAAAAACAAGCCAAAACTCAGGAAGTCACAAACTAGCTAGACACAGAAGAAGTCACAAACTAGTTAGACATATTTAGGGTTCAGAATATAAACTGGTAGATTGAAAATGTAACAAATTAGTTTTGACTGAAGTATTCTGTAGACGTGGAAGATGAAGCGTGTAAACCTTCCCCGATGTATAAAGTGAAAATAATGTTAATTAATAAAAAAAATAATGTGAATGTATAACATAGAATAATTATAAAAGGAATGAAATGAAAAAAATCACATTTAAAAACAAGCCAAAACTCAGGAAGTCACAAACTAGCTAGACACAGAAGTCACAAACTAGTTAGACTGAGAAGAGGAAATTCACAAACTAGTTAGACATATTTAGGGTTAAGTTTATAAACTGGCGGAATTGAAAGCTTTACAAAGTAATTAGTTTTGACTGAAGTATTCTGTATATGATGATGCGTACAACTTTGCCTGATAAATGAAGTGCAAATAAAGTTAATTAATAAAAAAAATAATATGAATGTATAACATAGAATATTTATAAAATGAATGAAATGAAAAAAATCACATTTAAAAACAAGCCAAAACTCAAGTCACAAACTAGCTAGACACAGAAGAAGTCACAAACTAGTTAGACTGAGAAGAGGAAATTCACAAACTAGTTAGACATACTTAGGGTTCAGAATATAAACTGGCAGATTGAAAATGTAACAAATTAGTTTTGACTGACGTATTCTGTAGATGTGGAAGATGAAGCGTGTAAACCTTTCCCGATGTATAAAGTGCAAATAATGTTAACTAATAACAATGTATATATAGGAATGTATTACACAGAATAATTATAAACAGAACGAAAAACAAAAACATGCATTTTAAGACAAGCCAAAACTCAAACAAGACATTAACAAACTATATAAACTGAAATGAAATTTAAAAGAATAAGCTGATTTTCTCGTGTCTTGAAACTTTGCCATTTGATTTCATCTTCAATACGCTAATGTTACAAGGTTACCGTAAATAGACCGTTTGAAACACTCTTCAGTTCAAGTTTTAATTCTGTACAAAGCTTTAACGCTTATGATTGTATATTCTCTTCATAGCCTTAAACACTTAAAACCTGTCAAACTAAAACTCTTCCATGGGCTAATGATTGGAAACCGCAGTCATAAAACCCGTGCAGTTCATCCTTCAGAGATTGGTCGATTAATATTCCAATGAAAATTTCGCAAACAGAACATGTGTGTTTTGCATTTGTTAAACAATCTAATACAATCGCTACCAATACCTAAATTTGACTATTTTAGAAATAAAGTAAATTCATTTTTTTTAAAAATATTTTCGCCTATTCGTTGCGTGGCACCTGAAGAGAATATATATAATGAACAGTTTTAAAAATTAGAATATCCCAACTCTTAAGCTGGTATCACGTATTCATTTATTTAAGACGAACAGCTGTTTCAGACAGTTTTTCTACCTGCTTTACCATTGAAAGAAAGACTCCGATTTGTTCTTTTCTTCCGTAAAAGAATAAGTTATATTCTTCCAAACTCATGTTATGCCTTTTTAGAATCCTACTAACTATCTATCCTACTATCCTTTAACCTACTAACTATCATCCTACTAACTATCTATCCTACTACTATCCTACTATCCTCTGTCGGATTAAGAATAGTCATTCTCTTCGAAAATTTAAATTATTGATATTTTATCAATTTCTCAAATAAAGTCGTTTATTCATTACATTATAGATGTTTATCCCTCTATTCGGCCTAATACATCCTAAAATAATAGCAAGAAATTTCCCCAGAAATAAAATTTTACATAGCAGGGAATAAGTTATATTCAATGCTATATAGCAAAGGGAAGTCTGAAATACATCCAGTGCTTCATTGTATAAATAAGCGAAAACTGAAAGCATATACATTTGTCAGCTATTTAAATTTGAATATTGCTTCATTGTTATTAAAGTTATTTTATTTCAGTTGTAGAGACGGTAGGTATTTTTGAAGCTGGAGATGTGAAAAATGAGCAATGCCCTCGCCAGGACTCGAACCCCGGATCTCTTGAATTTGCGTCGAGCGTGCTGACCACTACACCACGAAGACATGCTAAGAAGGCGGGGAAAATACCTTATGCAATATTAGTATAGTTTAATTAAAACACAAATATTTTATTAAAAATTTGGCAACAAAAAGCGTGATAAAATTTTAGCTAAGAGATATTTCATATCGAAGTACAATATTTATAAGTTACATAATTTTCTTTGGGGGGGCTTATAATTTCTAGTTATTTATAAATCTTTATAGATCAGGCTCCTAAACAAACAGAAAATGGTTTGTCTAAAACTAATAAAAAAATGCAATATCTATGTGAATCAAGACAAGTTGTCTGCCCGTTTAATGTGCCTGGAGTAAAAGCTATAATATGTGCATTAGTGCTCCTTTAAGATCCTACAAAAATACAAATTGTACTAAAATGTCAGAAAACCAATTCCCATTTTTAAAAGAAATTATGATACATTTTAGCATTCCTCTGATACATCTCATACTAAATATGTCACAATAAACAATACCTTATCCTACCGTGGGTGAAGTTTCACAGTTCTGTTAATCAAGAAATTCTGATCATCATTACGCAGAAAACGGGAAAAAATATTAGTATCTAAAAGAATGCTTCATACTAGTTTTTTGTATAATTTTTGTTTCGGGTTCAAACTTTTAGCTATATTCTTTATCTTACTGAAATGTCTGTCTAGGAATGTAAGAAATTGTAGGGATTTATATTTGTTTTAACCTTCCAGCACGCGCGTATGCGCAGAATTTACGACAAATTCAGTTTTTAAAGCACATTTTTCGCATATCAGAGCTGAGACGTCTGAAGATCATTTCTATTCCTCCTTTCTACCCTTCCCCACATCATGGAATGTGCCAACAGGAAGTTGACTTTTTTTTAACTGGGCTTTTGTGCTACGTGGCAGCTTTTCCATAAATGTTACGACACGCGCGTGGTCGTGTTCGAAAATTCGGAAAATATTTTTATCTCAAATATTTTGTAATTTTGTGTTATTAATTACCGTGTATTATTTTAATTTGTATACATTTGGCTCTGTAATTTTTATATCGGTTTTCATGGCAAAAAACAAATATGTGCAAACAGCTGATTTGCTCGGATTCTTCAAGAATATCTGATGAAGACAAAGAATCTTTGGATGGGGAGAAAACAATAGCGATTTTCATTCCATATTTTCTTTTATTCTATTTTTTAGAAATAAATAAAACATTAAAGTTTTTAAAACTTTTTGTAACAGTAAGAAGAAATTCCTTGCCAGAAGTAAGTAATGCTAAATTTACTTTTTTCCTACCAAGGTGTTTTCCTCTTTTATTTCTATACTTGTCCTTGATGATGTTAAAATTAGCTTCAATTTTAAAATATATTATTAATAATCAATTTAAAATTTTCTATAATAAAATACATCATCGCATTTCCATCTCACCAACATAGGAACTTAAAAATAATTTACCTATATTTGAATGTCATATCATTTGTATTTTGCAATAATAAGATTAATATTTTATTTCTTAATGCATTTTTTATCAATATTCACTCATTTCTGTCGTTTTTCGTGCCCGAAATGGTAAAATAACGAATGTTGTAAAAAATACGACGCGCACGTGCTCATGTAAAATTTCCAAGCGCGTGTGCTGAAAGGTTAAATAACCAATTTTATTTAATTTGTTATTTCTTTCTATAAGCCTAAACTCCCCTAATTGCCAATGCCAGAATATTTAAATTTGGTAGCGCGCGTGAAGGAATGCAAATTCTACCTTGAAGAGAGAGGTTAAAAACCGATGTTCAGTAAAAGAAGAAAGAGAGTTAGGGCTACCTCTTTTGCTTAAGCGTCTGCTCCCAGAGTTATTGCTGGTTCGCGTGGCTTAATTGTATTTATTTATTTCTACTAGTTTTCGACGGGGGTTTAAGAAATAGGAATTATTTTGAGCCTTGTAATTTAGTTCGGCGACTTGTACATATCATAAAATCTTTAGTTAGTTCTTTGATTTCATTTACCGCCCAGAAAGAGGCGTAGTTTGTTAGCGTCGAGTTGACGCGTTGTAGATTTTAAAGAGTTAATAAAAGGGTACTTTTAGCCCTTCTCTGTGCAGTTACTACTCTGACAGTTCTCCCACAGGAGTTAATCAAGTGGACTCTACAAAGTAAACATAAATTTTGTTCTGAAATTCAGATTAGCAGAGTTCATTGTTTAAAATAATCATTTTGATAGAGATATCAACGGAATTCATTAAAGATATGAGAAAAAAATTTACAATTATTTATTTCTATTAATGTTAAGATGCTAAAAATCATTATTTACTTTGAACTCTTATTTTTAATTTTATTTTCAGATAACACATTGTTAACTGGAGGACAAAGAGTGGCAGATCATAGGAATGGCACTCTGTCTATTGCTCAAGCTGCAAAAGATGATCAGGGGTGGTATCATTGTGAAGTTACTGGTAATCAAGGAGAAAAAGCCGTCGGATCAGTTTTCGTGAGGGTCGTTGGTAAGAAAATGTATTAAAAGAACTTAAATGAATTTGTTTCATTGAAATAATCTTCAAATGCATTGGTATGCTTTCAGACTATAAATATTTTTATTATAATTCCGTATCTTAGCAATATTATTAATATATAACCAAATTTAAGATGTGAAAAATGAATTGAGTAGATTATTCAAGCATTGCTCTGTAACAGACCTAATTTTGAATTAAGTTGACTTAATTCAAAATCCGTTTTCTGAATATGCAATAAATTCTCAGTTAAGGTGCCTCTGAGTTTTAAATCATTTAATGAACGGAATGGAAAATTTTTCTTTCCTATTTATTATTTTTTTTTTTTATTTTTTATTTACAATTGACTCCTTGCATGTATTAAAGCTGACATTAAAGAAGGACATCTATGAAATACAGCACTATTAAAACTGTAATTTTGTCTGTTTTATTACCACACTAAGTTCAATTAGTATACTGGTTTTATCTATTAAGTGCAACTGACTTAAAAACACGCAAAAAAGAAATTGCGCGAATAGTCGTTGCAATCCATTGCGTAAATTTGACATGAGAATATTTCATTTCCCTTTTAAAGTTATTGCAAATATTTTGCCTTATTCTTTTTCTGTGTACTTCTTTAAAAGCTGTACAAATATTAATTTAGCAAATGAAATATTATACCAAGAAGAAAATTAATTTGGCGATCTGAAATTCAGTTTTCCTAAGACATTGCGAATAAAAAATGAAAATTATTCTGATTTGAAAGATTATGTCGAAACTGCACGTGTCCTGTGCTCTTATTAATAAAAATATTATTTAAGCGTAGGGTGGAAGAAGTATTGTATAAAATGAAGTATTACAAAACAGAAGGATAAAAAGTGGAATCGTTAATGAGTTTTGCTGCAATTAATAAATTATAGAAAGTAAAACACTTAAGTGCGGCTAGCAAACAATGGACTCAGTTACATAATGAACTGCGCAATAACTTAAATCTCAAAAGTTACGACTTCCTATTAAATTAATGCAATGGAAGAATTAAGCAATTGTAATTGGAATAGGGATCGTTCACGTATTTCGCATTTTACTGAAGCTCTGATTGAAGATCAAAAATCATGATTGTTCCAAAATAATTGCTCGAATCCAGTCATTTATTTCACAAAGGGCTATTAGTCTAAAAACTGCATTTTGCGTCGTTTCACTTTCTACGTCGTTTCTTTTTTCAAACTTTTGCCACCAAACATTATTGCCATGTATTATATTTAAAGCAACTAAATAATTAGAAATTTGCATGAATGCATAGATGTTTCTCGCATTGTCAAAAAAAATGAGTACCTAGAACCGTCAAATTTTGAATAACGTCGTCCTGCAGTCGAACATAGGAAGCTCGAATTTTGAATTTCGAATTTGTTTTATTATCTGTTTCAAATTTTGTAAACCTTTAACAAATTTTTTTATTAAAAAAATCAATGATGGCAAAGCGAGCAGTAGCAAAACTGTATGGAAAAAACATTATCTCCGTACGGGATTGTATATCGGAAATTCTAAAGATATGCTGTTTTAAAATATTTTGTGATATTGCTGTTGAATTGAATTTTATGTGGTTTAAGTGCGAAGAGCATGATATTTAATAATTTAAGGTAACGCACAAAACGTTACAAGATGTAAACGTAAATCGTTAATATAAATTCTGAAAACTTTTAACTTTTCTTTTTTTTCCGCAATCGTTTTGAATTTATTCTTTCTGTATTTTTTTTTTTTTCATTTTATATTTGAAAATTTAGGAAATGATTTTGCTATAAACTTTTATGTTTATTTAAAAGCAATTGACTTTAACTTGCAATTCATTTTTTTAGATAAAATTGATAGGAGATTGATTAGATAAAATTATTATTATTCCTATTATAACTCCTCCTCATCATCATGATCCTCTTCATTATCCTCATCATCAAACATATGAATAAAAGAACTAACTTTTAATTAATGGAAATTTAAATTTTACTGCTAGGACTTCTTCATAAAAAATTTTGAAAACAGTTTTAAAATTTATAAATTTTTAAATAAATTATAAACCTTTTCCTTGAATAAATTCATTTCCTGACGCTGTGATAGATATAGTCGATACACTGTTAGCCGTATCGTTCATTATAAACTCGAACCCTAGAAAATATTTTGTTGCTTGCAAGTGTGGATTATCTGTGCAGTATGGGAACACTTACTGTACAGTTACTGGAGTATTTGGAAAACTGTTGATGAATTATTTTTTATTGTCCTCAACTGCTTCTAGGCTGACTTTAGATAAAACGTTTGGGTTACAGCCTAAAACATCGCGGGAAAAGCATCGCGGACGAAAACAACGCAAGGCAAAAACGTCGTGCTACAAAACATCGTGGGAGAAAACATCGCAAAGAGAAAACATCGCAGTCCTAAAACATCGTGGTACAAAACATCGTCGTCGAAAATAAAGCGGTTCGAAAACTTCGCAGTTTTAAAAACATCGTCGTCGAAAATATCGTGATAAAAAATAAAGTATCTACAAATCATCGCATGACGATAACATCGCAGACATGCTTTTTTCAACTTTTGATAATTGTAAATGGATATTTCCATAATGATTTGTGAGCGCAAGATGTAAAAAGGATAATTTTTACTTTCACAGTTTTTTATTGACTAATAAAGTTTTACTGAAAAAGTAAGAAGGAAACTTAAGCATAGAAAATTAATGCAACTTATAGCACTTGAGAGAATTTTAAACCGACATAGTTAACTAACAAAGGCCATTAATAATCATTTTATAAGTTTTACTGGTAATTTTTCATGAAAAGTATAATCTATAGTTGCATTGAATTTTCTATGCTTAAGTTTCCTTCTACTTTTCAGTAAAACTTTTATTAGTCAATAAAAAACTGTGAAAGTAAAAATTATCCTTTTTACATCTTGCGCTCACAAATCATTATGGAAATATCCCTTACAATTATCAAAAGTTGAAAAAGCATGTCGGCGATGTTATCGCCATGCGATGATTTGTAGATACTTTATTTTTTATCACGAATATTTTCGACGACGATGTTTTAAACTGCGAAAGTTTCGAACGCTTTATTTCGACGACGATGTTTTGTACCACGATGTTTTAGGACTGCGATGTTGTCTCTTTGCGATGTTTTCTCCCAAGATGTTTTGTAGCACGACGTTTTCGCCTTGCGATGTTTTCTCCCAAGATGTTTGGTAACACGACATTTTCGCCTTGCGTTGTTTTCTCCACGACGTTTTCGCCTTGCGTTGTTTTCTCCGCGACGTGTTCGTCCGAGATGTTATCGGCGGACACCAACGTTTAATATAATGTTAAATAAAAATTTAATGACCGCATTACAATAAAAGAAACTTTAGAAATAAGAAACATAATTTCATTTAGTATGCTAATTTTAAAATTCGGAAGAATATATTTAAAATACAGAGCAGCAAATTACAAAAATTGTTACACTAAATTATATGTTCATCGAGTGAAATTTGCAAATCTCTTTCGAGACTGACCGCGATAGCTATTTTCAGTAATTTTAAATCATGTTTCTAAATTTAATCCTTTTATGTTTTCTTTGCAGACATTTTAATGTAAATTAATCACTTTAGATTGATAAAACTTAAGAAATAAGCCCACATGCTAAGGTACTGGCAGCTTCAAAATAAGCGGAACCAGCTGCAGTATTATTAAAAATGCTGACTATGACTGTTTAAGGGGCCCTATTGATTTGTTGTATCTTATCAGCTATACAAACAGGAATGGAAAAGTTAGTACTAAAAGAGTTACTAATTTTAATAATAATAATAATTAGAAACGTGATGAATCATTTAAAGAGAGATACTTAAAATGAGAACCAAACCAGTATGATTAATTATATGAGGGATTTAATCATAAATAAGGGTTTTTGATAAAAATTCCCTTTTCTACTATGTTAAGAATTGGAAGGTCTCCGTTTCTTTCATATATGGCATAATCAGTTTGATAGCGGAAGTCAAAGATTTTGTTAGCCGACTTAAGGTATATTTATTGGTCTCCAATGGACAGAATGGAGAATGCAGTCCGCCCACTCACGAAATAGGTTATATTGTTTTCTTGAAATATTTCGTTAGCAGAAATGGTTCACAGCGAGAATGTAACTGATAATAATGTTCGATTTTGTTGTTCTTGTGACCTATCTCACTTGTCTGACCGTAACATCAGAACAAGCCCAGAAGATTCAGCTTGGCAAAGAGCAAGATTCCGCCCGTCATTTCCAAGAGCCGTATGCACCATACGGGTGATAGTACGACTTCGCTCAGTTCCGCTCCCAATTTTGATAGTGAGTATCCCGGGGACCCGGGTCCGAGGGTCTCCGACATCTCTTCCCCTACTACCAACCTCTCGATGGGACTTTCGGGCCGCCATATATTTAGATTGCCTCCATGCCTCAAATATACTTTAGAGTTACAAACAAACATCCGTACCTTCTCTAGGATTCGATACTGCTGTTGGCTTCCCTAACCACTGTACCTCTCAGCGGCATAATAGTTTTTACAAAACGTATTTTGAGGATATCGAAGCCTTCTAAATGTTAGCGTATCAAATCGCGTCAAATAACACTTGAAACCTTTAGAGATGCTGAACAAAGCAAGGCATGTTCAATATAAAAATTCACGTAACATATGCATACATCAATTTATTTTCAGAATTAGGAAAGTTCTTAGTTCGAGTTTTTGACACCTTTACTTCAGTCATCAGATATTACGTAAATTAAAAGAATTTAAAATTAAAAGAAAAATTAAAAGAAAGGCGATGAAAACCCTTTATCGGAGAGCAGTTCGTGTCTATCCCTTATTGTTAACCCTTTGCGGCACAGTGTGTCCGGTCTGGACACACCTAAAAATTTCCTTCTGTACGCACAGAAAAATTGAATGAAAAAGGACTTATAGGTTACTATTGGTTACTCTGGACTTATAGTAGATGACAGCTCAACACAAATCAGTCCATATATTTTAGCCAT